TATTTCGAAGCATTTGCAGCGGCCGCTTAATCGTAGCCTTAACCTTATTTTTTATATTTTTTATTAATCTACATATAATCTAAATGTAGATAATTATTTTTATTTATGACAAACCAGGAGCCTTATTCTCGAAAAATATCGCATGCGATATTTTATGAATGTCACCAGAATATTATACTTAATATTCTAGTGATATTCATGAAATATCGCATGCGATATTTTTCGAGAATACGGCCCCAGACCTAGCGAGAAACAACTCGACGATGGACATTCAACGATGCCGAATCAACATTGAAATCGTCACATCAAAACATCGATTCATTTTTCGCTGGGGAATAGTTATACTTACTCACAATAGAATTCGCAGCACATATGCTAATCTCACGATGATCCTACGATCCCACGACGATCCCACGACGAAATCAATCAAAAACTTATCTGCAGATATAATTAATAATTAATTGTTGTACAAGACGCATCGCAATCAAACGTAAAGTCGTTAGACAATAGTAAATATTTCTTTATAATTATTGCGGTTAAAATGTTGCTGCTATAAATGCTTTGAACCGTTTCTCTTCTCATTCTATCTTTAGTTAAAGAAGGAGGAAGAATAGTTCGAAGCACTTACAGTGGTCGCTTGACCGTAGCTTTAATTCTTATTATCTACATATTCTCGCTGGGGAATAGTTTATATATTTCTCGTTTCACACAATCTTACTTACAATTGAACTCGCAGCACACAATCCCACGACAATCCTACGATTACGATAATTCTATGGCAATCCCACGATGTCAACACAACGAAACGACTGTAACCATAGACATATCTGTGAGTGGAGTTGTCCGCATCTTCTAAAGGACAGAACGATATAGAGGTAGGTGCTGCCTCCGTCACTCCGCCGGTCTGGATAAATCCTACTACAGATAACGATTTTATTCCCTATAGATGTCTTTGTTATCGACTTTGTGAGGATTTAGGTCGATAAAAAGACACGGTGTCGCTGTGCGTTCACGGCGCGAAACACTACCGTAAAAACAAAAACCAATCAACTCAGTGTCATGTCGACATCGACAACACCAACGTTCGCGATGGTCGACAACAACAATACGTAAGTACTGTGTCTCGTGACTAATGTAACTAAGGTAATTAATGAAATTAACATTTTTACAGGACTCAAGATCGAATCTTGGCCGAGGCAATGGCCAACGCGAAAGTATCGGAGGACGAGTCCGCGGCGTCGGCTCAAGGCACAGTACTTCCATTCCCGTTCCTTCCGCCACCGCCACCGCCACCGCCGCCGCCACCGCCGTCGCCACCGCCGTCGTCATCGCCGCCGTTATCCTTGCCTCCGTCGCCGTCACTGCCGCAATCGGCATCACCATCAACGATGGTGGTGGTTAAGTCTCAACCGTCTAAACGTAAGTATAAAATTTGTTGTTGCATGAACTACACGGCCGATCTCGCGTGCGCGGTTCTAGTCACGCTTTTTTATTTTATACTTGACGCGAGACTACCGTGTTTTGTTTCGTACAATCGTACAATACTTATGTTCTTTTTTTTTTACAGCAAGATGGCATCGTGCAGGGCGCGGGCGCAACCAAGAATGGAACAGCCGCGGCCGCGGTCGTGGCCGTGGCCGTGGCCGTGGCAGCGGCCGCAGCCGCCCCTATGCCATAAAGTATGGCAACATTTATTTTAATTAAATTTTATATTTTATATTAATGAGAAAGGAAGAAAGAAAAAGAAGTAGGTAATGTGTGAGCGTGTTACAACAGCGTTCATACATACAGTATGAATTTACATATCATTCTTCCTGCTTCTAACAAAGTTTGCAGTATAGGCTTGAAAAGGTTATTGCATAAGTCTTATTTGTTTAAATCATATTGATAGCTAACTACCTCTTTTTATTTCTATTTATATTTTTATTTTATATTTTTAACATAACATGATTGAAATGAAATTATTAAATACTTCAAGCCTAGACCGTATTTTAAGTAATCTAAATAAATCAATAAAAGTTTGTTATTTTCCATCTCTCATTTGAATAATTATTGAATTTAATTTAATTTAATTTTTTCTTGTATTGCGAATATGAAATATTCTTATTATTCATGTTATCATAACCTATCTAAGACTGAAACTGTATAGTTAAGTTCGCAGTGGTGCAAAAACTTTGAACAAATAAAATCGATACAAAATTTAAACAGATGTAATATTATTAATATATTTTATCCTAATACAAGTAAACATGTACACATTATATGATATAATATATGATATAAAAGTTGTGAACTTTTTAATATTAAATATTTTACATGGAAACGTGATATCTTTCTTTATTTCATTCGAATGAAATTACAGGGTATACAATGGTTTATATGTAGTATGATATAAAAGTTGTGAACTTTTTAATATTAAATATTTTACATGGAAACGTGATATCTTTCTTTATTTCATTCGAATGAAATTACAGGGTATACAATGGTTTATATGTAGCCCAAGACTTTACATGATTCTGTTAGACGATTTCGACTGTTGCTTTCAGTATTTACAGAACAGAAATAAAGTCTTCCATTTCCCAATACAAGCGGTTATTCGTTAGATAGAGCATAAGTCAAACGTGACCATAAACTTTGCTTGAAATCGTGTACATATTACTCGTTAATAATTTTAATAAATTGAACTTAACACATCAATGGAATTGCATTTTTAAGTAGTGCCTTAATACCATCATCTATGGCTTTTAGTAACGTTTGTTTTACTACAAACAAAATAAAGTGCAAATTGTGTAACTAAATGGGACTATATCTCGCACCTACCGTATAATTTACACAATCTATTCTGCTACATTTTTATGATTAATGTTCCATGAAAATAAAAATATACCTTATTATCGGCGACAAAACTACATATAAAACTAAAATAGTGAAAGCTTTTAATATATATGTGGGTTAGTAGAATTGTTGGAATATGGTGTCAGTAGAACCAGATGAATTGAAATTGTTGCAGAGTAGCTTAACAATAAGGACACGTGCAAGAAAACGCATTTACGCTATTTTGGAATGTTAATCCAGGCAAAATCAGATAATAAAATAACAATTACTAGGAAAGTAAATGAAATAATTACCTCTACCTTACAATATCATTCTGATTTCCATAATCGCGCGTTTGTTCAATAGAATTGTTATGACTATTGTTACTCGAAAGTTACTGTATGTACAGATAGAAGTCTATAGCATTTTCTCCCTTTCACGCTTAGACTAGTTTCATACAAAATGCAGCATGTATACTTACTTTTATTTCCTATTATTGTAAATAATTTTAATAGTAGTAATTTATTCTTGTCACTAAACATTTATTTTTGTCTCTCATGTAAAGACTCGTAAAAGAAATATTTATATCTCTGACGTGTAAACCTCGATATTGATTCGTCTATTGTTTACCTCTTTCTCTCTCTTTTTTTAACTATAACTTTTCCGGAGACCGGATACAAAAGTTGAAATGATATGTATCATTCTAAAGTTCCCTTCTCTTTGCGAAAATAGTAGGTTCTGCGAAAATAACGACGATGTAGTGATTATGAATGTAATCGAGTTCAAATAAATACTAAATTAAATTAAATAAAATTGTACTACGACAAGATCGACGCTTGAATCGTGCAAGTTTCGTATACTTATACATACGTATACCGTTATATGACCTTACATAAATAGTAACATTATTAACTATACATAACTACAGTGGAAAAAACAAAAGGTCATGCACGTATTGTCGTTATTACATTGCGGGCAACGTAAAGGCTGGTCTACAATACATGGAGTAAGCTGGAGTAAGGAGTAGGAGTAAGGAAATAAATCCATTTTATTTCTTACTCCTACTTCAGCTCTTAGGCTTACTCTCGGTGAATCAAAATGCCATCAATCAGTGTTACAATTATTTTAAAAATCATGCCCGTATTTCAGCTTCCTTACACCAAAAGCTACAAGTTAGGGCTCTCTCTTACTCCTTATTCCACGCTTATTCCACGTATTGTAGACCAGCCTTAACGTTGCTACGGTTAGAACGCAGAATCATTACGCTGTCCGATGTAACGATGTAATCCGATAGCGCGGCTATATTATACCCTACGATTCGCGTTCGCGTTCAAGTCTTCTGCTAACGTGTGCAAATCATTTAAGTTAATTCACCGAGAACAAGTAATCGGATGTACAATCTCATCGAAAACCAGAGATTTGTACGCAAAGCAACTGGTGGGTCATCTCAATGTTGAAATTCAGCGGTGGAAAACGCGATGGCATTGACATATTTATGCTTAATCATTCACGATGGATTCGGCGGGAAGGTCATTTTGTTCTGCGCTTCGAGGGCTCGGAGCTTCTGGAGCCTGTACATTGGATCCATCATGTCCTTGCCGTCACCGGCCACGGCTGGAGTCTCGGTAGTTTCTGTATAAATCAGTTAACCCTACAAAAATTGTCATAAATATTAAACTGCTGAACGTTTCTTGAAAAAATTAGTACTAGATCTATTAATTAACTAACTTGCACCTATACAAGTTCTTGCTAAAAATAAATAAACTCTCTCAAGGATAAATGAAATCATGTAGAAATACATGACAGTTGTATATGTATATGAAGTTGTAAATATATACATGTGTGTATATATATGTATATAAATACATTCATTGTATAAATTAATGATACATTGAAACCCATTGAACATACATATGTCCCCCCATCACGAGGTATCTATATTTATATCGAAAAGTGCAAATTGGAATACCGTACCTATCCCATTGACATACCCAACCAGCTGGTGCCGCATCTTGCTCTAATCTTTCCAATTCATGATTTGTATTAGTTAGCTATTTTTGAAAGTAACTGTCCTCTAAGCTACCTGCCGTCCATGCAGTAGATAATGTCTGTAATGAATACAATTTACATTAAGAAAATTTATATTGACGCGTTTACTATATGCTAACGCACAGCTCCGTCTCCTTGTGTGCTTCGTCGCATTCCTTTTGACTTTCTGCACATAATTGAGTTTGCATTCCCGCATCGCCATCCTCGGCACTGCGTGAGGTAGTTTTAGCGCTTGTAAGATCGCTGCTGTTGTCATCTTGAATTGTACTTTCGTGATACGTATTGTTACTTTCTTAATTTTATTGGATGTAACTGAAATTAACGAGAAATACTTCATACAAGTAATTTTAAGAAATAGGATGCAAATACATTTACATATAAATCACTGGAATAAAATTAGATAACATAATCGATAATACCATCAAATGCTATTCGCTTCTTTCTTTGAAAAGCTTTACCGCACACTTGCATATCCTCCAGAAATATATTTATCTTAGATTTATCTTCGTCCGTTTTCGAGTCCTTCTCCTGTTTTTTCATGATCGTTCTTCGTCTCTTGCGTATCTTCGTTGTTGTCGCCGCACTGATCGGGAACTTGTACGTTGCCAGAATTTTTCGCGGAAGCGTCGTGAGTATTTTTCAACGAGCTTGTTACGTTCCTTACGTTTACGTATTCCTCATTCTGCACAATCGGAAACAAAGGCTTTATTTCTTGCTTGGGCCTAACTTCTTCTCCATCTGAATCGTCCCCATAACCAGGTACTAAGGACACGTTGAGGTCCAATTTCGGAACTATGTCATGTGTATTAACGTGTTTTTTAATTTTACTCCCCGTGAGAAACTCTTTTTCACCTTAAACTACACTACTCTTGCTGTCCGATTCGATTATTTCACGCTCTTCGAGCTCTTCGGGATTTGTAGTGTTCAATACGTCAGTTGAATCAGATTTATATGAATGAAGCAAAGTTTTGGTAGACGCTTGTACTTCCGTAGGGCAGAAGGCAGGTCCGATTTCGATACTTTTTAGATACGGGGTAGAGCTGGACTTTCCAGGCTCGGATGAAGGCATCGATATCTTATTTTCATCCGACGAATTATTTTCCTCCTCCGAGTCACTTCCGTCGCTACCAAAAGATGTTATCATCTCTATGCGTCTGTAAGATTACAATACGTTCTTTAAGTGTATCAAAACACTACAATTCTATTTGAAATACAATTTCTATACTATACCCATCGTCTGAACATCATTCTTCGTCGGAGATTCGTTCTTAATTTCTGGTTTGCTTTCCGAACTATTTTTCTTCGCAGTTTCATTGTGTAGAAATCTGTTGTGATTTCTCGCGACCACTTCCTGTGGTATCATACCTTCAGGTATATTTGCCTGAGACTGCCGATCTGCAACCAACGCTTGTCGATAACATCCTATCTTGTTAAATATTAGAGGTAGAAAAATTTATGAAATACATGCGACACATCCGACTGCTTTTGTAACAATTGTAGTTCTTCTGGCATGTCCCACATTACCTCGTTAGTTTTGGTATGCCAGTAGTACGGATAACCAGTCGACTCGTCATAGCATTCTTGCCACACTGAAACGCAGACATTTAAATATTCCACAATAATAATCGTAATGCGCATCCGATTGTCTGTAGTCATTTGAGACACTTACGTGTTTCCTGGTTTGTTTGATGCGCAAACCGCAAAACTGCCTTAGTCGTTGAACTTGGAACACTAGCGACGTTCGGATTAGCTTGCTCAGGACCAATAAGCTGAATTTCCTACAAATAAGCTAA